CTGGAGCTTTAAGCCTTTGGTTGAAGGTCTGGTGTTGAGCGCAGGATGGCCTAAGACCTAGACCGCTCCTACAGTACTGAGGATTAAGGCTTCGAAGCCGCCTTGGTCTTGGCTGCACTAAAGAGTTGGTTGCTCCTTTGGGCTTGTAGTGTATTGGGTCGGGCTTGGGGTTTGTACAAGGCTTCAGGAGTTAGGGCTTATGGTCTGCGTCTAGGCTTTATGCTTGTGAGGATTTGGAGCTCAATAATCAGGGCTTGGGGCTTCCAAGATTCTGTCGGGCCGCTGGCCGATCATGGAGATGTCGCCTCCTGCCACCATGGCCTGTCAGCAGCTTGTTTTGTGGAAATAAGGATCCAGATTTCCCTCCTCTTACTTACAACTCTACCTGCAGCCGGCTTACCAAGTCCTTTGATGCTTCATAAGTTGGCTTCACACACGGGTTTACACAGAGCGGCTTGGACAGGACTCCCTCTTTCGATCGGCGGACAGATCGCGCCGCTTGCAAGCAGAATAATGTGAAACAACACCCTGAATAACAACCTCAAACCTAAACGCCATGAAGGACTTCGGGCACAGACTATTCAGCATCCCCCCACCCCGTGCGACACTTCAGCCCGAGCCCCTAAACCGATCCCTCAACCCCAAAACCGAGACCCCCCAAAGCAACCAAACCCTAAACCCGTCAAATCTGAGCACTAAGCTCAAGACCCTGGTCGCTTGCCCAGGTCTCCCAACCACCCTCCATTCTCCTCTCGGAAAAGCTCCGCAGGAAGCAATATGAACCAGACAACCGACAAACCTCAAGGACGAGGCCAAACCCGAAACTCCAAAGCTCCACTTGCCTAAAACCCTAAACCCCGCAAGCATGGCAGAGGCCTCCACGAAGGCCTTGGTGCCAGGCTTTGCCTTGGCGCGGCAGACCACTTCGGCGCAGAGGGGCTCCCAGGGGGGTTTGGCGGCGGCTGGGTTTAGGGCTTCGGGTTTCGGGTTTTTTGTAGTGAGGCTTAGCGGGGGTCCTAAACCCTAAGCCCTTATCCCTAACCCCCTTCAGGTTTCGGAGTTCAGCCCTGGAAAACCCCAAAGATTGAACTTGGCTACGACGCTTCTAGATGATGTGGGCGAGATGGGGTAGGGTTAGAGGTTTATGGTGTAGGGGTTCAGGTTTAGGGTTTAGGCGTTCTTGTTCTAAGTAACCTGCGTGCAGAAACTTTGGACGGTATCGAAGTAAGCTAGAATTAGATGGGGGTCCATAGAACACCCAGGAGCTTCAATCCCGCTCAAACTCCATGGGCCCGAACTCCAATCAAAAAAAGTTGTGCCCGAATCATCAAAAACAAAGCCCGGACACGCCACCACAACTCCTAAGCCCCGAAATATGTGCAAAACTCATCGGAATGTTGCACCTCTACCGCAAACCCAACACTCCCACAATCCTCGTAACGCCAGGGCTTGGGGGGTATTATGGAAGCGTTCATGAGAGGGAACTCTAAACAATAACCTCACTAACACTTCAACTTCTTCATTATTACCCAATCAACGTCCGACGGGGCTCCTTGGTTCCCAGGTTGTTGATCAGCTCCTCGAATACCAGAAGCAGGCTGCATTTACTTGGCGGCTCGGGGGACTTCTTGCGTAGTTAGTTTATAAGGGTTCTACGTACCATAATCCCAGGCAAGATCCCGTTTGGAAACTTATAACTCTACTTACGACCTACCTACTGAGTCCCCCGACCCCCACGTAGGGATCAGGGGGCCTTGCTCAAATGCTTCGGGTCTGGGCTTGCTTATGGAATTGGGGGGGAAGGGGGGATGGGCTCCGTACAAAAAGAGGAAGAGGGAACTATCTTTAAGAACCATTCCCCCTGGCTCCCCACGAAATAGGAAGCTCAAAACTGCAGGGTGTAAGATTGCTTCATAGGCCTCAATTCTAGAAATTGGTGCTGTTGAGAGATGGGGGTGTTGGGTGATGAGGATTGTTCAGGGGTTTAGTAATGGTTTAGTAGCTTCAAGGCGTAGTTTTTAGGGTTGATGTTTCAACCTCTCGAAATCGATGAAATTTACGTTTATAGTACCTAGAAGCGACAAGCGGCACCTGATATATGTGTATGTATGTATATTTTTTTTTGGCCGAACCAACGACCGCCAGGCTGCATCCGAGGCATTGGAGATGAGCTCACGCAGGAAGATCTCCTTGTTGGATTAGAAAGTGTTGCTGATCAAACCTCAGCAATCGCCTCGGCTCGAAATCCTAAACCCACGCCTACTCCTACACCATTCATGCATGCTGTGAGTTCAGAGAAATTGACTTTGAGCCTGAACCCTCCAACAGCCGCCAAGCCTCAAGATGCTACAGTAGTTCTGAAACCCAGGCAGAAAATACGACCGCAGATCCCTAAAATCTAAGGTCAACTGCTCGGCATTGCCACACAACTGCCAACTGTCGCAGGCACTGCTGCACAACTGCAGGCACTGATCCATGAAGGATGTCTGCACCCGTGGTTGGTTCAGTGCCCAAGTATGCCCCAAACCCTAAACTCTACCCCTAAACACATCCTAAACCACCTTGGCAGGCCGGGAAGCTCATTAACTGCTGGATGTCCGCATTGAATGCGAAAGTCTCCGACATGTATTGGATGTATTGATGAGCGACCTAAGGATGCCGTTGTCCTAGAGGCCATCTGCAGGTCACCTAAGTCGCGCTGCGAGCCGCTGCCGTGAGGGACCCATCATGTCTGCACTTGCAGGCGGCACGGACAAGCTTGTCAACGGCATCATTCCAACTGCGTTGGGCAGCCTCACTGGCGCCCTCCCATGGAACCCAATCGGGGGCCTGCTTCCCATGAGAAGGCACCCAATGCAAACATACTTCAATCCCTTTACGGCGTAGCTGTGCAGTCATCTCCCGCAGCTCATTGAGGAGCAATGGGTACTCAAGTCAAGTTCATGCAGTTGTACAGCCGCGATGGCCAATTTGCAGTCAATCAACACATGCAAAGCTTGCACCCGCGAAAAGAAAGCAGTGAGCATAGTGGAAATCAGGAGCCGAAGAGCACAGGGCTCCGTTTTGTAAGCAGTCTGATCCTCATCCTCAAGGCTGGCAACCGCTTCGAAGGAAACCTCGGGAAGTACGAAGCCGCAAGCACCCACTGTGCTCTGAGCTTCCATCCGTGGCACTACGATGTTGGGGCACACAAAGGCGAGATGCGCCCGACTCGGCATCGGTAAGCCACAGAGGCATGCAGGATTGTTAACCGTAAACTTCGTGGCAAAGAACCAGCTAGACCCACCCGAGGCAAGCGCAGCAAGACGGTCGGTCCTTTTTTGGCCGTGCGCCACATGTAACGATGGCCCTCAGCACAGATGAAGGCACCCTGGGAAGGACCAGGCAGCTCCATCCCACAATTCATGTTAGGCTCCGGCCTGTGTAAAGACCTGGTGACTCGCCCAGAGCGGGCTGTGCAAGGCGACGGTGATAAAGGAGGAGCCACTCCTTGATCACTGGAAGACCTAGCCCAGCTTGAAGGTCACGGCGGAAGGCATCCGGCGACTGATGGTAGTGCCATCGTGGGCAGTTTGCCAGCCCAGCTTCGTGAGGAGCGAGGACGCCCCAGGCAAAGCAACAAACCATGGAACACTAAGCACGCCCAAAGGGAGCACTTCATGCCACTCCTTCCGAGTACAATGCATGCGAATTGCTTTCTGCAAGAGAGCCCAATCGCAACCGAACTCAGCCGAGGTGAGCCACTCGAACACTTCGTGGAAGAGCTCCTGCATTAGCTGCAGCACACTGCACACCCTGGGCGTCAGCCCAAAGCCTTGCCCCAAAGTGTGGCCAATCACACGTCGATCACCATGCCGCACTCGACGACACCACCACCTGTTGTCGCGGAGGCCACGCCGACCGATGGTCCCAGCAGCGCGGCAAGCCACCAAGACCAATCTCCAGCCAAGTTCGCGGAGGCACCGTCTCTTGCGATGCACCACCCTGTCATGCGACTTAACCCACAGTCGCGGTCTGCCTCTGGCCCTGAAGCCGAAGAAAGGGCGCACCCACACGCCTTTCTTGCGAAACAGCCGAGGTCCAGGCCTTCGATCATCCCCACGGGAACACAGGAATCGATCGTAGAGACACATGCCATGACGTGGCAAAGTCCCATCGTGCAAGAGCGACAGGAGATTAAAGGTGATCAGTGTGCAGACACAACCAATCGAAGCACCAAGAAACCCGAAATGATGCTGACCAGTTGTCGCCGCAGCTCCTGACCAAACTCCAGGGAGCAAAGCCAGGAAAAGTCGCTGGAGATCCTTTGCACCCCCTCGCCATCCGCAGGCAGCAAGGAGGCCCATGGCCACCCACGTGGAGGTGTCTCCTAGGCCACAAAGATCTGGCTCAAAGTGAATTTCTCTGAAATCGCAGCATACATGAATGGTGTAGGAGTAGGCGTGGGGTTTAGGATTTCGAGCCGCTTCCCCCCCCCCAATGGCATGGGTCTCAAATACAAGGATGAGCCAAGAGCAGCCCCTCGCCCGCCCGCCCTGCCCTGCCCCGCGCGCCCGCGCCCCTCGCCCCGGCCGCCCTTAATCAAGAGGGTTATAGACAATGCTTACAGTATCTTACAGTGATTATGTTACTTCGCAATATAGTAGTGTAACCCTCCTTTAAGATTTACTTTGAGATCGTCATAGGCAATCGTATGATTCTTTGTGCACGGAGCGGTTCTAAGCAAAAAATCGTATGATTAGTTGTACAAGGGTTTCAGGCTTGAGACTGGATGCAGAAGAACCACAGACCAGGGCCGCAGGAGAAGGAAGGATGTCCCGTTCCACGGAGAGGGGGGAGGCGGGAAACATATATCGTTATGCCTCTATATTTGTATATAAACTGACCCAGGGCAGCAGGAGAAGGAAGGATGTCCAGTTCCACAGGGGGGGGAGGGGGGAAACGTGTGGCCGCAGGAGAAGGAAGGATGTCCGGTTCCACGGGGAGGGGAGGGGCGAAACCTATATCGTTATGCCTATATAATTAATTGTATAGAAGCAGGGCCGCAGGAGAAGGAAGGATGTCCCGTTCCACAGGGGGGAGGCAGGCCGGAGGAGAGGGAAGGATGTCCCGTTCCACGGGGGGGAGGGGGGAAACAATATAACGGGCCGGAGGAGAAGGAAGGATGTCCCATTCCACAGGGGGGAGGGGGGAAACAAAAGGCCGCAGGAGAAGGAACCGTTCCACAGGAAGGGGAGGGGGGAGACATATATCGTTATGCTATGTAATTGTATATAAACTGAAGCATGGGCTGCCGGGGATATATGTATTATGTATTCTATGTACGTATGTATGTATTGATACATAGCTATACCCTTTCCTTTTGCCTGCCTGTCCTGTTGTACGTCAAAGTCTCTGACAGCTGCACTGCGGGCGAACATGCCGCCCGGTTGCCGTCCCGGTGAACACACCGCACATTCTGAGCCTGAGAGGACTCCACGGCGTATGGATCAGTTGGCCTCCCCAACTAGAGATTGTGCCCAGTGGCTCCCAGGCTGGGCTGCAGTGCCCGGGGCGCATGGCAAACATTCGAGCAGGGCACTGTCGGCGTAAGTGCCTGCCAAGTGAAACGACACTCACTCACTCACTCTGCAACTGCAGCGCCACCGCTGGCCGCCTGCGGGGCAAGGTTGGCATAGATTCCTCGGGCGAAACAGAAACAGGCCTGAGCCTTACTATGCAACTGGCATTTGCAAATTGCAAACGGAAGCAAAGAGCCAGGAGACTGGTCAGGCACGCTCCCAGCCGGGCAAGCTGTGCAGTTGGCGGCACCAGAAGTGCTAGTCGTGCCTGCAGGCCGCAGCTCACTTTCCTGTCCACATCTTACGTCGGGGCCAAGCTAATGAAGAAGCCATCGCAACTAACTAACGCAGATGAAGGCGAAATTCTGAAACACGGTGGGGAAAACTAAGCACCTGATGAAACATCTCCCGGTGCCAGGAATACGCGCGGCTTGAACCCCAAACGGTCTAAACTCAAAACCCAGACCCTGATCTTGCTCTGAATCCCAGAGACGCCTCGTGGACATCTCGAGCAAGCCCAGGCTGCGGCAGTATCTGCATAGCGACCAGCTTCACACTCCTTCGTTTTAGGTACTGGGAAGGGGGAAGGAGGAGGGCTGCCTCGACAAGTGCCTACTGTAGCAGGCGAAATGCGCGGGCTGCTTTGAACATGTCTGATGCTAACAACAGAAGAACAGATCGCACAGAGTCTCAAACATGCCTGCAGGCGAGGCTCAAAGCAGTTGGTAGCCCGTATGAGCTGAAATCTGCCAGGACTGCACCTCAAAGGTTTGGCTAAACAGAAGTGATACAAATATTGATGCCAGAGGTGTGACGAGACTGGAGACTGAGGAATGAGATAGCCTGGATCGTGAACAAGAGTGGAGAGAGTGAGATGTGAATAGGAGTGGGCGGGTGAGGAGAGTGAGATGTGAATGGGCATGGGCTTGAACGTGGGTGAAGAGAGCGAGAGGTGAACAGTTGTGGGCTTGAACGGAAGTGGGCGAAAAAGGGAGTGCAGAGGGAGAGTAAGATGTGAATGGGAGTGAGACGTGAGGAGTGAGGATGGGCGCGATGGCGACAGTCGGCGAGAGCAAGGATTAGAGTGGGGAGTGAGAGTGAAGCACGAGCAGCTTCACGCACTACACATCGTGACATGCTATATGAGCACGGCACAGCAGGCCTACGGCCCAAGTCACACGCGATGTTGCTCAGACAGTGTTTTCAAGGCCGGTTTAAAGTCACAAGTCAGAGCGGCGCTTGGCAAATCTCTGGGTCGTAGGAGCGTTTCGACGCATCCATAAAATAACCTCCGGGGCCGGAATGTGGGGGAGCTGGCTTTCAAGCCGGGCGAGAACGAGCTACTAGGTGTCTGTCTGCGTATGTGCATAAGTCTGTCTGCCTGTGCATGTGCGCATTTATATGAAGTTCAGGCTGTGATAACACGGCGGTGAGTATGCGAACACCAAAGACGAATTTATGACGCCCTTGTGACATATTGGTTCGCCAGACTCGAACTCATTATCAACTCTAGCAACTCCGAAGGGGCTGGGCAGGGCACCATCACCTGCAAAATAAGTCTGAACCGTTCAATATGCAGCTGTTCGATCCGGCAGCGACATGCTCAGTAGGTACAGCAGAAATTTCGCAAGTGTGATTGGAGGGAGTTGGGGCAGTGCTTCCAGTCTGCCTGGTTCGCACTTTCGGCAATCTCGGCAGGAAAAGGGGCAGTACTTCCTGATAGATTCCAGCAGGCTCTCGCTGAAGCTCGCAGGTGCCTCGCATCCATGACGGCATAACAGCTCTCAGCACAAGCCAGATAGCACAGGCCGAATTCTCAAGAGAGCAGCCCGTGCAGCGAAGCCCAACTCAAAACTTTATTTTTCCATGATCTTCCCTCTGTGCGCCCTGGTGGCCTCCAGCTGCCCCAGAATAGATCCCACACGCACACACACACACACACCCACACACACACACACACGCAGGGAGGCAGTCCGGCACGCAAACCTACGCAACTACTTCAACTTTTTTGGCCACGACATCACACGGTCCGGTCTTGCCGCCTTCTCGCCCAGGACATTTCGCAGTTCTGAAGTCAGCGACTCGAAGCTACCTCAAGTCGCTGCACACTGGCGCAGTCGAACAGCAACGAGAGCGTTTTGATGTCTTAGTCTTCGCACAGCCCTGACCCTAAACCCCACACATCATGCCACAGCTGCTCCGGACCCTGTAATAGTACTAGACACGACTGGCAAGCGATAATGGATGCTGGGTACCGGTTGTACCGGTGCAACGCTTCTACTGCGAACGAGGCACACTTGTCTCCCGCGGTGGGCACTGCGAATAAGTCGCAGCTGAGCTGGTTCTTAGCCGTTGGCTTCCAAAGTCTTGCAACTCTAGCACCCTAGCTTCCAAGGATTTGGCAAAGTCAACGATGACAAGAACAAGGACTGGGATCAACTCGGATTTGCGGTGCTCCGCAGCAAGACGGCCAAGCTGCATACTCGTCATCCTCGCACCTGTCCTTCAGCTCGTGGTGAGGAACCGTGCGCACCGAGCAAAGACCACATGCCCTGGGGCAATACCAGCGCACCTGTTGCCAGCACTCCGGCCAGATACAAACTGCAAATCCCTGTTGTCCATCGGCCCCCTGACACTCGAAGAGCCTGCTTGCAAATAGGCGGCCCAGTCATCATCACAGCCGATGCGGTGAATCGATCGCACAGCGCAGCTGCCAATATCGTCTTGGAAATGTGAGTTGTCCTCACTGCACGAAAGGCAAGTGCGGCTTCCGCGTTCACAGGCGATATTGCCGGCGCGCAATGCCAAGAAGACGACATCAATCACGTTCACAGGCGATATTGCCGGCACGCAATGCCAAGAAGACGACATCAATCGCGTTCACAGGCGATATTGCCGGCACGCAATGCCAAAAAGACGACATCAATCAACAGGCTCGCTGCCATCGGTAAGCCAGTCAGTACCGAGAGGAACTAAAGTGGACGTACTGAATGTCTATCCATTTCCGCGGCAGCCGTAACAGTCGCAGTCGGAGAAAGCAACGGCAGCATGAAGCTTCGCACGAGATTTGGCAGATCGTAATTTTCCAACGGACAAGACCGAGGTGCGCAGCACCTGAACAAAGGGTTGTAGCTGTGAGAGAGAGAGAGAGAGAGAGAGAGAGAGCGAGCATTCATATGATGGTTGCGCAGTGCATATATATATATATATGTGTGTGTGTGTGTGTATGTATATATATATACACACACACACATATCAATCCATCCGTCTATCCATGCATAGATACATCCATCCATCCATCCATCCATCCATCCATCCATGCATGCATGCTTGTGCACCTGTGCAAGAGTCTTTGCTGCCTCTGTCGTCATATTCACAGCACGTTTAGTAAAATGTACTAACAATGTAGTATGTGGGAAAGTAGCACTGCAGCAACTAGCAGCACTAGTTACTAGTTACTCCAGTCTCATGCCTGTCCAACTAGTCATTTTGGATCAGCTGCCTCACAGATTCCTGGATTTCGATTCCCACCGCCGCAGCCACAGCACCTCAAGTGGCTTCCAACGTTCGCAAGCTGTTAAACGCAGATCTGCCAACGCTGCTGCATTCGTCGGAACATGCGCTCCGGGGCACGCATCGACAGCGGTGAGCCCCATGAACCTGGCGGTGTCAACTTAACTTGCTATCACGCACTGGGACCGTACTCCAAAGTTGGGATTTGGAGCTGCTATGCAGCGGTGACAGCCTGGTATTCCAAGCGCGTTAGACTTCTCCCGAGCAAGTCAAAAGCGCATGCCATCAGTCAGTGCCGAGCAGGGAATCCCCGAGACCGTGCACGGCCCTGACCAAACATCCTGCTCCCGGCGAAACAGGCTCTGGGCGCTGGAGAGCGTTCCGCTTACGACTTTCAGCTGTTGGCCTTTCGCCTTCGGCTTATGTCCATGCCCGGGGGGTCTTCGACCGAGCATCGCCCGCACTGCGATGCTGCCAAAGCTTTGCCCTGTTATGCCCTGCTGCAGCTCTTTGCGCAAATGCTCCTGACCTCCATCGCTGAACATCGAAACTACTACGAGTATCTTCGAGTTGGGAGCCACGGACTCGGATTTCGCTCTGAAACTTCATGGAAGCTGGCACTTGTAACGGACATTTCCGGAAACCAATCGGGCAACCCAAAGCAAGAGAAGTCATGCCACGCTGCAGACTACATCTCCCGTTCTTACAAAATCACAACCCACTGGCACAGCTGCCTGTAGTCTTCAAAGGTCCCGTGTCTGGTCCTTGGCATGCTGTACCGCTTGACCACCGGGGAGGCTTCAGGGAAGTCATGCTGATGCTATGAACCGAGCCGCGACAACACTCCCCGTCCAACGCCGAAATCAAAGTCCTGCAAGCACGAAGAGTGCTTTCCGAGGCTCTTCCCAGCTGCATCTGCCGACCAGCCAGGGCCATATCCGCCATCCTCGGCTGGGCTCTGTGGACATCTCAAGTGCTTCTAGCGCATTTCGCTCATGCACTTGTATGCCAGAAGGGTCTTCCCAACAGACTCTCCGTCAGCCTCTTGCGGCCACTGCACTGCAAGAGCGTTCATAAATCAGCGGACTACTGCCGGGTGCTCGAGGTGATGCACCCATGCGGCACAGAGCTCGGGCCCGCACCAATGTGCAAAGCTCCCGGCTCACATAATCGCGGCACGTCCACGCCTGCCCGGCAAGGCTGGTATCGCTTGAACCGTCTATGAAGCGGCTTCAGACATGACACGACGTCATCCAAAGAAAACTCTGCAGCATGCACAAGAGGTGCGAGTATGCATATATTTTCTAGCATTGGCAACTAACCTAACTTAGCACCACGCCAGTGCCGTTGGCGAAAAACTGGAAGCTGACAAAGCACTGTATGTTTTTCAACACTGCTCTTTCTTGCCGTGGCCCTTGCAGTCTCGAATTTTGCCAAGACGCAAAGTCTGAGCTGAAGCCGTTGACATGGCTTGACCTGCCAGGCGTGCAGCTTCGAGACTGCGATTTCAGACTGGAGGGGCCACTTGGGTGTCGGAAGCACCTGTCTTTCCAGGGGCCCTCGGTGCAGGGCTCCAAGCAAAAGTCCCACTCCATCCCAGGATCATTTGTGAAGCCTCAGAGGCTGCATCACAGAATCCTCATGCCAACAACGGCTTACTGTAGCGGAGTCGCACCATGGCAATCGACTGCCATGAGGTCCGTACCTGAAACAGGCATGCATTTTCTATCTCCCTGGCAACGTAACGTAGACGCAGAGGGTGCAGCAGAGACTGATGGCCCTCTCCAGGAGCACCCATCGCCGACCATCGGGGTTCCGCAGAAGTTGTGGGCGGGAGTCAGCACCTCCTGCAAGGTGGGTATTTTTGTGGAACGCGAAAGACCTCCTTCAAAAGACTCAGAACTCTCGGACAATGCGACATGTACCATTCTCGGGAGAACACTGAACACGGTTGTCAAGGAGTACATGCACTTCCCCCCCTGCTGAGTGCAGTTATCTCTTGCAGGCACGCTGCTGCCGGGTCTCCGAATGCGTGCGGCCTGCTGACATCCCACCTTCAAGCAACAAGGGATTGTCGAAACAAGCATCAGATCGATTATCGAACAAGCAGACAATGCCACTGTAATCCACTGTAGATTCTGCAATCCGAACAGGCCTCTGGCACGAGGTGTTGCGAACGGTGCGGCTCACACATCCACTTGACATGTTGCAAGCGCTCCTGCACACAGAGCCGCGCACTCATATTTCGAAGAGAACCAGATAGCTTTGTGCATTTACTCCGGCTCACCAACGGAAGCCACACCCCCCATCCAGTGCTGGACACCGCAGAGCGAAACTTCCGGCTGATGCAGACGCAGGCACATATCTTCTGGCTCCCAAGATGGGACCTTTGATAAGGCCCAACTATCTGACAGGATGCACTCATCACATGCGGATGGAACCCATCAACAAGATCGCATGTTCAGCCTAACTAAGGCCCGCACACAGCTATAGTTTGCTGGAGAGAGTTGGCCAAACGCACAAAAGAGGTGGGCCACATTTGGCTGAGAGCCTGGACATTGCGAAAATCGCGACACTGACTCGCACCTGCTGATCTGTCTAGCCCTACTGTAGGCATTTGTTGAAAATTTAGAAGCCTTTTGGGCCAAATTCTTACCTCCCTTACCTCCATACTTCGGCCATGCTGACTCCACCTTACTACATCTGCCTGATGTGCATCCCGTGCTGTCCTGCAAGCACCACGTACTCCGTGGCTTTACAATTTCATGGATCAGCACCCGTCTACTCAACTCCGGAAACGCGAAATCAGTCTCTTGAGTATCGAGAACGAACTACTGAAACTTGAACCGATAAGAGGAGAAGAGGTACTGCACTAGCGAGATGCCTGCAAGCTTGCAAGCCTTGTAATATGCGCTTCCTTTGATCATTGCGAACTCTCGCCGAAAGGAAAGACGTTCCCACAGGCGGCAAAACTTGGACCTCTGGACCATCTAACCACCTTTGTCGGATCACTCTGCAAAAGACACTAAAGTCACTAAAGCTTACTCACGCTACCATGTCATTGTCATGTTGCTACAAGTTGGAATACGGGTTGGAATCCCGCCTTCTGGGCATTCCGGAGCGCACTCCTCGCCGTTGTCAATCTTCTCCTTAGCTCCGGAGGCAGTCAAGAACCCTCTTTGACCACTGTGACCTATCACTTCAACTGCGCACTCCTGGGGCAAAAATGCTGCAAAGCAGTTGAAGCACACGGCACCCGGACCCATCCATCCAGGCAAGAATCCGGCTTTGGTCGCTGGTCCTGGCTCTAGACAAGGTGATCCGTTGCAGCTGCGTGATACTGCGTGCCTCTTTCTCCTCTTTCTTCTTGCCAGTTTGAGGCCGGAGCACAACAGCCTCGGCATGCTCACCCGTTCACGGTCACACTACGGCAGACACTCGGCTGCGCCTTTGTCTTCTTGTCATCATTCTCCTTCTCATCTTTGTCCTGCGCATCTGCCGGACTAGCCAACCGGCGCCTTCCAAAGCATTTGTACCTCAATCTTCGATCTGCTCAGCGACTCGTCAGAGGAGAGCCCAACTTGAGACAACTTCAGTGTCCTTCGCGCAGCCCTTTGGAACATCGCAGCTTTCGCGTGGAGGACTGCTCAGGCACACCGGCGTGAAAGACCTCGGTGTTCACATGCGAACATAGTTCTATGCATGCCGTCCTGAGGGGAAGTTGCGGTCACCGTCATCTACAGCCCAATTGCGCCGGCGAGGCAAGCTGAAGATGGGCGACAGAGACTCTAGAGTCGAAGTCTGACAGCACACGGTTGACAGCTGAGTTTCTCAGGCCAGGAAATGAACTTTGTTGAGTTTTTGTCCGGCCCGATGTCGTTGAAGATGTACCGGTACAACTTGGATGTGCAGATTTGCATTGCTGGTGAGTGACTGCCGCCCTTACCAATGAGTCCACGGAAAAAACTGCTGTCTGCCACCAGAGATCATCCCACGAAGCGTGGTGATACACCAGGCATCCAGAGTATTCATCAGCGTTGGCTTCGGGCACTCCTGGAGGTGCTCGGCAAAGTGCAGGTGCCGTCTGTGACCGACTGAGCTGCTCTGTTAAGCAACTATTGGCCATGACAACTGCCTTGAACAGTTTCAAGCATTTCAAGCTCTGGCCTGCGTGCAACATTGAGTCCGAATGACCTCGGTAGCATTGAATCTTCTGGCCGTTTCTGACCTCTAGCAGCTCTAGCACTCTAGCGGCACCGGCCGGCCTGCAGCTGTGGTACCAAGCCCAAGTGCTCGAAACGCTATGCGGCAACTGTCGCGGTCTCGTATCGAAAGCCTTGGGGCTCCAGGTGCAGGCATTTCCGTCGATGTCAACGCTGTGGCTGTGAATAATTCTGTGTGACGCTTGAGTTTCGCAGGTCGTGGACGTGCTGCAGAGAATAAGCAGGCTCACGAGTCCTGCTTCAACTATCGCAAAATTTATCCGAGCCGTTGCGATCCATGGAGCAAGTGACATCCCAGGACACACGCAAAAAGCCCAGGGATGGCAAAAGGTCTCGAAATGCAAACCAGGAACATGCCAAACTGCTCGCATGAGCCATCTGGATCATCCACAGATAACACCTTGAGCTCTTGGAAACACACACACACACACACGCACGCATATATATATATATACATACCTTTAGGGTCCATTTAACCACGGTTTTAAATTTGCAATACTAAATGCCTAGCTAAATAGTGCATGGCTAAGTGGTACATTGCATAGACCAAAAGCCAAAAAGTTTTGGACCGACCGTGATATATAGTTTAATATC